GACATAATAAATGCTATGTAAAGTATTTCGCAAGTGATCGATGCGAGTGCCAGCTGGTTCGCCCTGCTTCTAAAGAACGCCTGGACCGAATATTTAGATAAGCCTATGAAAAAAGGAAGAGCCATTGTAATATTCATTATATCTAATAAAGCAAATCCTTTTATGTCAGTGGACGACTCTTTGTTCTTCGTCTGTCTTGCGTCTCTGTTTGGCTCTACTACATACACATTTATCATGGCTATTGCTGAGATAGCTAGCGATAGTATTGTTGGAACGAGAGAAAGCACGCCAGCAAATCTTTTAAATCCAGCATGCTCGGGTATGTATTGTCTAATAGAGCCATTGAGAGTTTCTCCGTAGTTTTTCATTGCATTCAGCTGAAAAGCGAATAGCGGAAGCAGCACAGTGGTCTGCAGGATTGTTTTGATGGTAGAGTAGATCTTGTGCTCCTCTTTTTCTGCGTCTTCTATTTTAATATTCTCTTCTTCAGCTGCGATCTCTGTTGATGAATCTGTTTTCTGTCTTTTTTGGCGGGCTAAATGTCTCAATCTACTTCTCATTCCCTGTAGAATGCGCTGTTTTTGTGCAACGACTGCATCTTTTTTTTCTTGCATGTTCTTGTTATTCAAACTGTTTTCGAATTGTGGAGAAGGGTTAGTGAAAGAGACATGTGTGCTTGTCTGTTCTTCAGGCTCTATGCTTTCTTTGGCAGATAGTGGCCCATACTGTTCTTCTTTCATTGCTGAAATATGTGCGCTGTGTGTGTCTTTTCTGCACACTTCTATCTCTGATAGATCTACTGGCTTTGGCTCATTTTGTGTTTCTCTTTCTTTCTTTTCTATAGATGCTTCAATCTTTTCTTTTTCATCGGTTTTTGCACTTTCTGCATATTCTTTTTTATTATTCTCCGTGGGTATTTCCTCCACAGTGTTTGTTATTGATTTTTTCACCTCAGTGTCTTTTTTTTCATTGTTTATTTTGTTTGTTTTTTCTTCCAGACAACCTATGCTGTTTTTCTGGCTGTCTAATTTGCTCTCTTCTTTTCTCCCATCTTCCAGCGTAGATGAATCTTTTTCTTTTTCCGAATGCAGCTCATCTGCTGGCAAATATTTTTCCTTAAATCTATTCTTGTGGTCTTCTGTGTTTCTTTCTCTGCTCTTGTACGTGTGCGCCTCTTCGCTCTTGGATATAACCTCTCCTTTTTCATCACCTTCTGCACCATACTCTTTTAACTTGTCATCGCTACTTAAGCTGAATGCTTCATCAGAATCCCCCTCTTCTTCTGATATATCAGCATTTTCATCCTTTTGCGCATCTTCTTCCTGTGCGGGTGTGTCTGGGCTTTCATCCAGGGTATTTTCTATGTACTCGGTCTCGGAATGGCTGATGTCTTTCTCTAGCATCTCCATTGCAAGCTTAGAGGTCTTTTGACCTTCGTCTGCATCCTCTGTGCTATCTTTTGTGCTTTCTTCTACTATCTCATCGTCTATGGCAGTGTATGCCTCTGTCTCTCTCATGTGCTTCTCTTCTTCTTTCTGAACTTGAATCATTGTGTTGTTGTTTGCATACGGTGTTTTATTTTTTCGGTTGCATGGAGAGCAAAATAAACTTTTGTTTTAAGCCAGCAATTTTACCAGAGTGTACACAAACATAAAAGTAACATATTTTATTTTTAATTATAATGTCTGGAATATATGGGATTCATGCACTGCACAAGTCTGTGCTGTCCTTTTTCCTTGGGATTTTTCTTCTTCTCCTCCTCGTGATAGAGATAGTCACCTTTCCTGTGGCCGTTATGAACAGAAGGCTGACAATCCGAATAATGAACTGGTACAACAAGACGTTCACGCGTGCCTGCATATACATACTGAAAATAGGGAACAAAACCGCAGTGGAGATGGTTGATCTGCAGAACAACCCCGTGTCCATGGATTTCAACAACTCTTCGTCTGTTTTGATCATTAGCAACCACATATGCGCCCTGGACACAATACTCCTGGGAATGGTCTCTAACTCCCTGGGGAAGAATGCGCGGTTTATAGCAAAGGATGGGCTGAAGTGGCTTCCCATACTCGGATGGGGCATGTACCTGTCAGACTATTTATTTATCAAGAGAATATGGAGGATAGACTCAGAAAGAATCAAAAAATGGTGCTTCAGCCAAAAAACAGCGATCTCTCTGATCATATACCCTGAAGGCACGCGATACACTGAGGCCAAAAGAGACAGATCAGCGCGGTATTCACGGGATAATAATTTGCCTGTTTTCACAAATGTTTTGTACCCGAGAATAAAAGGGTACAATCTGTGCATGTCTTCTCTGCAAAACCCGCCATTTACCTCGCTTCTCAACGTGACTATAGTTTACTTGGTGAACGGGAAACTGCACACGCCCCCATCGATAATATCCTGTCTTACAAAGAGGCTTCCTGGGGTGTTCAGGATCGTAATAGAAAAAGAAGATATCGTTAAAGAAGCAAAGAATGAGAAATACCTGATACAGAAGTTCCAGGAGAAAGACAAAATAATCGAGAGATACAAAACAAAATAGAAAAATAAATTGAAATAACTTACCGTTTATTCCTTGCTGTCCCAGTCCAGAGGGCACACATCTCCATACTTCGTGTGGAAGTTAATAGCCTTAATAACCCGAAGAGCCTCCAGTGATGATCTTCCTATGGGGTCTGCGTGGACCAGTTTGTATATTATTTTTCCGTCTTGTAGAATAATAGTTGCTCTTCTTGACCTTCCCTCCTCTTCCACAAATATTCCCAGGCTTCGGGAAAGCTCTCCGCTGGCATCAGAAAGCAGAGGAAGAGTGTTCTCAGAAATATTTCCAGGAGAGGTGGTCTCCATCCACGCCTTGTGCGAGTACACGCTGTCGCAGGAGATGAGAAGAACAACCGCGCCTTCTTTCTGGAACAGCTCTTTGTTCTTGCTGAAGCCAAGTATCTCTGTAGGACACACAAATGTAAAATCTAAAGGGTAAAAGACTAGAATTACTAATTTATCAAAATATGCAGAGATGTCTATCTCTTTAATCTCTTGTTCTGAGTAGCATTTGAACACTGTCTTCTTGATTGAATCTCCTATGCATAAGACCATTAAATTTTTTCAAATTAACTTTTAGATATTCAGCGAATGAGCCTAGTGGACGAAAGGCCAGCCAATCCAATCAAAGACATACTGATATTTGAAAAGCAGTTAAATAAAAAGTATGCGCATGAGACAAAAAGAAGGTTTGTGTACTTTGTTCTTTTGATGATAATTTTGTCGGGCTACATTCTGCACGTGACCAGAGAAGTGTACAACGTGCTGTGGGACATAGATTGCAGCGACCCTGCAGAAATGACCGTGCTGCTGTGCAGAATATACCTAAGAATGCTAGGTGCTGTGCTTCTGCTGGGGTATGTGTTTATAAGAATGCTGAGAAAGTCGTCGAAAATAACGAACTCACTGACTGCACAGCTGAAACTGTTGAACATTTTCTTCAAAAACCAAAAGCTGAACTTGTGCAGCATAAAAACCCCAAATAACATAAAAGTAGCGATAAACGTGTTTCGAGAAGAAGAACAGAGAAAGAAAACACACTGGCTAAAGAGAAAATAATAAATAAGATTGTACTGATATCTCTGTCTTAGAAGAAAAGTACCATCTGGTGGTGCAGGAATAGTGACACTTTATGGTCTAGTTTAGAAGATTATGCTATGAGAACCAGTCTAGAATTGGTATATATCTGTTTTAAAGAAAGGATTTGAAATAGTTAGCAATTGTGTGATCTGTGCAATGCTAGTTCTGGCATGCCATTAGAAGCTTAAGAAACAGTTTTTCATAAAGAAAATGCAAAGCAGCAAAATATTTTATTTTATTTATTTGAAGCCCCAGTAGCAAATGGATCTAGTTTCACAACAGGGAGAGAGTACAATGAACACCTCAGAAGCATCTGAGCACATGTGCATATCGAGTTTAAAAGTAGGAGGAATGAAAAAGGGTTTCAGACAAGTCACCAAGTCAATCATTGGCGGAAGATCTAAATTAGTTATCATGTCCAAAGAAATAAACGAGAAGAAGATGCTGGCAATCATAGAAGGGCTCGTAAAACAGTACGACGTACCCGTTTTGCAGGTCAAAAACCACAACGAGCTGGCCAGATACGTAGGAATATGCAAAACCGACGAGACCGGAAAAATCATCAAGGATGCAAAGTGTGCAGTTGCTTCAATAGAAGACTTTGGAGAAAGCACCGAAGGTAGAGAAGTGCTCTTTGGAAAAATAGGACTAACAGAATAAACCAAACATTTTCTTCATAATTAAATATTTTTACAAAAGTTTTCGATGAGAATTATAGCAAAGAATCTCCCAACAGACTCCACACAGCAGAGCATCAGAGAATACTTTTCAGCCAAGGGCACTCCTACGGACGTGCGGCTGCTGACAACAATCTCTGGAGAGAGCAGAGGAGTGGCCTTCATAGGATACAAAACAGAAGAAGAAGCAGATGCGAGTATAATCCACTACAACAGATCTTATTATAACGGATGCAGAATAAAAGTGGAAAAAAACAGCCATGAGCACAAAAACAGAAATAGCACCGCCAAAACACGCACAAAAACAGACGGCAGCGGGATGGAGATAGATGAGATGAAAGAGATTCTCAAGAAAATAATGGTACGAAGCAAAGACGAGATATGGAGCTCCAATGTAGATATTGAAGAAGAGGGCACAAAGAAGCACAAAAAGAACGAAAACGACTCTCTGGAGAGCATTATTGAAAAGTACAAAGAAGACGCAGACAGCAAAAGAAAAAACAAAGTGCTGGAAACAGGAGAGGTGTTTGTTCATGGGATTCCCTACACTGCCACAGAAGAAGAAGTGGAGAAGGCGTTTGAGCAGTACGGAATGATCGCTGAGGTGTTCATGAAGTACAAGGAAAGAGAAGACGCCTGGGGGGAGGGAAAGGCCTTGAACACAGGATATGCAATCATCACATTTACATTCCCTAAGGATGCTTATGCCCTAATAGGAAAAACCGTCATTTTCCAGGGCAGAAACACAACTGTGCTGCCAAGCAAGGGAAGACCGCAGGAGGAAGTAACAGACAAAAACAGAAGTAACGTATCGCACGGCAAGTACAACCCCGTCTTTTTCAACTTCACAGCTGTGCTAGGTGTAGCAGCGAAAGAAAAAAGAGTTTCAAAGAGGGATATACTTAAAGACCGAGGAATTGGAGTGGGAGGAAAGATCGCCCTACTAGAAAGCGAGCTAATCGAACGAACCCGCAAGTTCTTGAGCGATGAGGGAATTGCAGAAGAGTGCACGTGCAGCAAAACGCCATGCACATGCATGTTTATCTCTAAGAAATCAATACTGATCAAAAATATACCATATGAAACAAAAGAAGGCGAGATAAAACAGCACTTTAAGAAATACATCAGAGCAGTGTTTTCTCCCTCAAAGACTCTGGTGGTCCTTGAGTACAGCAACAAGTCTGATGCCCAAACAGAGCTGAAAAACAACAACTTCAGCAAAATAAGAGACCAGCCGATATACATAGAGTACCTAAAAGTGACAAAAGAAAGGTACACGAGAGAAATATCCGGTCTGCCCCCGACAGTAGATGAAGCTCCCGCAGAAAAAGAAGAAAAAGAGAAAACAGAAGAGCCACAGGTGATGAAAATTATTCTGAAAAACATTCCCTTCCAAGCAGGAAGATCAGAGCTATCAGAGCTGCTCACAGGCCTAATAGGGAAAGAGTACGTCTTGAGAATACCCAAGAAAGCAGACGGAACGCACAGAGGATTTTGCTTTGTCGAACTCTCCAACAATGACCAGACGCAGACTATTTTGCAAAAGCTAAAACATGTGCATCTCTACGGAAGACACATAATCGCGCAAAAAGCAGAATTATAGTGTAAGAATACTCTCCAGTGCTATAGAAACTGCTCTATCGAAGTAGCAGCATTGTTTAATCAAAAGAAGCATAGAGTGTGCAAGTTAGTAGATGTGACTGATAAAAGATCGCTTTTAAGAGTGTGAATATACGCGATATAACGGTAATTATTGAAGCTCTGTGAATGGTATATTCCTACGGTGCTATCTGTGCTCCAAATCAGCTATATAGCAGACATTTCCTAACTAAGATAAGACCTCTAAATAAACTATGTTTGAATTAATAATTAATATTGTGTTAAATTGTAAGTGATGAAACCATCCCAAATATTTGCCACAGCCAGAAGAAAAAACAGACTTAAGATCCTGAACATAAGAAACAGAATATCAGATGTATTGGCACTTATACCACTTTCTGCCATCGCCAAAGAGATTCTATCTCTGTACGCACGCGATCAATCAGCGGCAGTGGCATGCACGTCTCTTCTCTACGTTGCATACATAATATTCATCAGAGCCTCGAGTATAACAAGCGAATACGACACAGGAAACTCTTGCAAGATAGCCATATACTACATTCTGTCTAAATGGACGCTCCTTGGGGCTATCTCGCTTGTGGCGTACACCCCATACTCTTTAATATTCATTGTGAACATGATAGTGCCTGATAATTTATATTTCTACACGCTGGCTCTTTTTCCAATGGGATACATAACATACCTCGTGTCCATGTTTACTGTGCACATTCTTCTTCTTTACCCTGTGTGCATCTTTGCTCTTTCTTTTTTTCACTTTCTGCTGTCGTTTCAAGAGATGCCGCACAAAAAAACGCAGAAAATGCTGATTTTCTCCATCTATGCAGTAAATGTACTCTTTACGATCCATCTGAGCGTTCTGTGGGCGCTTATTCTGTACTACTGCATGGACAACGGGAGAACGAAAAAAATGATACGGATTACTTAGAAGATAAATTTATTTCGTTTATGCAGTGGTTTGGATGAGCTCTGCTTCTCCGTCGTCTAGAATAGAAATGACGCCCATTCTGAAGTGGGCTCCGCATAGGTTGGCTAGGTCTCTGTTGGATCCATCGAACATGTATACTGGGACATTTCCGCCAAGCTTTGCGTAGTACTCGAGCTGCATTTTCTTAACTTCTGGGTAGTTCTTTGTAAGAATGATGTACTTGCACGATTCGTTGATCAATGAGGTCATGGTCTGTCTGAATCCTACATAGTATTTTCCTGTTTTAATGACAAGAGGAAGCTGCGAGGCAACGCTCATTACATTCGTCTTTATTTTTCTACTCATTTTACAAGGGACGTAGAAAAAAAAATTTAAAGTAAATAATTCACAGAGCCAATAACGAATATATTTACGTATAGACACTTGGCAAGCAGCAGACAGCCATCGGATGCAATGTGTGCCAGGAATATCTGTGCACAGTGCAGAAGAACTGTCTCTTTATAATAGATCAAAGGGCGACTATAGCAGTTTGCACAGAATAAAAGCAAATATTGCGCTCGGTTATATAGAAAATAAAGTGCTTTAGCCAATTGTACTCTTTTTTGCATAAGATGGAAGAGTGGATGCCAATCCCTCAAGTGCTGATCAATTTTACCTTTCTTCTTCTAGCGGACGGTTTTATGCTTCATTTGCATTTTTAAACAGAATGCCTAAGAGTCTTTTTCTTTACTTGGAATATATTAGTATTTATATATATCAGTGCTATGCTAACAATAGCTTGGCAGAAATAACTTATTTTTCATCCAATTTGGGCACTAGTTATGGATAAAACAGCAACAAACAATGGATGATAGGCATGCTAGAGACATAATAGATTCAGTAGCAAAAGTAGTCAAGAGCATGAAAGTACACGCAATAGGTATCTAGCACAGCTAACTGCTAGTAGCTACTATTTGGATTTTAAGATGGCTCTTAGCATGAGATTGTATCTATCTGTTTGCAGTACAGTGGATTCTCTCTGCCAAGTGGTCTGAAAGATAGTCTGAAAAATAAGTCAGTGCTACACAGGTATCTGCAACTCTTTACCTATATAATTATCGAAAGAAGAATGAATAGAAGATCTCCAAAATATTTGGCAGCAGCTAAAAAGCGCAGAAAGCAGAGAATTGTCCAAGAAAGAGCAGTTTAGTATGCAATGAAATATTTTTAGAATAAAATAATTTATAATGTACGGTGACCAGGAGAGACTGTACACTAAAGAAACCATTGTAGTAAAAAATGTGCAGATAGAGACGTACGTGCACAACAACGGGATAATCATCGTGCCCAACACAGAAAGCAACTGTGCGAATGTAAAGACCCTGGAGATAAGCGACATCCAGAAGATGTACACAATTTTAGATGAAAAAGAAGAAAAACCCGCAACAACAAGCTATAAAAAGTCTCTCTACATTCTCAAAAAAAGAGCAAACGGGCCAAGACAAAAATAACAGAAGATGCAGAAACGAAAGAACGCGAAAATATTTAAATATTTACTATTTTAAATTTTAAATGATACACAACACAGGACTCTCAGCCCGCACAAAAATAGCCTTTCTTGCAGACGAAGCAACAATCAACGGGTTTAAGCTCACGGGGATAAACGGCTCGGAGTGGACATGCCAGTCGGTCCATGGGGTGTTCAATTATTTCCACATCGTATCTAACAGCACAGAAGAAACAGAAATAGTCAGCAAGTTCAACATATTCCTAGAAAGGAAAGAAATAGCACTGATCTTCCTGGGAAGAAGGGCAGCAGATGTCCTCAAAGAAGAAGTCCTCAAAAGAAAAGAAATGTTTCCACTTATAATGGAAATCCCCTCCAAAAATACTCCGCCCAGTGTAAATGAGATAAAGCTGATGAAAAGACTGAAAGAGCTTGCAGGAACCAAATGAGCAGAAGAGCCGCACAAAAATAGAATCCACAAACCAAAAATAAATCACAATTATTTTATCTATTACCATATAAGTCAATCGTCAATGATCGACTGGTCTATATCTATGCCCAGAATACTCTTTACGCCATTCTTATCTAGATAATCTATCAAGTCTTCGCTGCAGACCTCTTCCTCTTTTTCCTGCAGAATATTTTTAAGCATTGGGTCATTTTCTGTGCATATCTCCGACAGTGAGATTATCTCATTTGCAGGAAGATTTCTCTGTTCTGACAGCTCTCTGACTATCCACTCGAGAACCAGTATTCTATTCGCAGCCACTCTCTGCGGCTCTTTCATGACACTAAGCGACCTGTTAATGTGCACGCGGGCCTTTTTCTCCATGCTGCTGGCTCTTCTTTCCTGCGTAGCCACAGCTTTCTTTGTTTTTCTCAGTGCTTCTTTCAGTCCTTCTATCTCTCCCTGCAGGCTGGTTATCTTTTTGTACGCAGTGTTCAGCAGATCTTTGTCTTTCTTGCTCCCCGCCTTTAGCTCTGCAATAACCGCGTCCTTCAAGTGAAGCTCCTTCAGAAGGGCGTCTGTTCGGTCCATAGGTGTAAAATATTTTAGAATAATAAATGTATATAATAGATCGCTTTATTCCATCATCTGTAAGACTTTTGGTATCTTGCACGGGCTCCTGGTCCACCAACCTTCTTTGGCTCCTTTCTTCTGGAGTCGGTTACAACCATGTATCTATCATAGTTAATGATGGTCTCTCTGAGATCTGCTCTAATCTGCTCATCAACAAACTTTCCGTAGTATGCAATTAGCGACTTTGCAAGGGCCTGTCTGACGGCGTACAGTCTGGTCACGTCTCCTCCTCCCCTGACCTCAACGTCGAAGGAAAGACCTTCATAGAACTTTTTGTCGATTATGGCGAACAGCTCCATCACTTTTGAGAGTATCATCTTTGGGCTGTATAAATGCAGTGGCCTCTTGTTCACGGTGATCTCAAACTTGCCGGAATTCTTGCACGTACTGACAGCTACAGCTGTTTTTTTTCCTCCTTTTGCAGTTATGCTTTGTATACTCATGCAAGGGGACTAAAAAATTAAAAATAAATTTACACATCGGGAGAGAATTACCCAGCAGTGGAGATATTCCAGCCAATGAGACGCCCTCTGCAGAGAGAACAGAGGAAAAGTGGCAGACTCAGCGTGTTGCTAGCTACTCTGGCTTTTTAGCGGCAGCTGGAGACTTAGCGCGATCTTGTGCTAAATATTTAAAAGATTCGAAAGAATTAAATAATACTTTTTTTTTATTATTAGACAGGGATATGAAGCATAATAACGCACTAACCACCGGGCACTTTAAGAAAACCTCCCTAAGATACAAGACATGGTTCGACCAGCCAATACAGAAGAGGCTTAGAAAAGAGAAGAGACAGCAGAAGGCAAAGCAGATAGCGCCCACAAACGTAGAGCTGCTCAGACCAGCAGTCAGATGCAACAGCAGAAGATACAACATCAAGGAAAGACTGGGCAGAGGATTCTCGTTCGCAGAGATCGTGCAGGCAGGCCTAACAGCCAAAGAGGCAAGACAGCTGGGCATATCCGTAGACCCAAGAAGATACACCAGATCCGAAGAGTCTCTGGACCTCAATGTCTCCAGAATCAAGAACTATCTCTCCAAGATCACCGTCTACGAAAGCAAGAGAGAAGCAATCGAGAGCGGAGCAGTACAGCACAAGACAGCCATCATGCCCATCGAGAAGAAGAAGCCTGTCATTGGATCCATGCCCGCATCAGAAGTCCAGAACCAGGCCACAGCCTGCGACGAGATGTTCAGACTCAGAGAGGAGAGAATCAGAAAGAGATCCTTAAAAGAAAGACTAGGACTGTTAAAGCCCCTGAACCCAAAGCACAGAGAGCAGGGCGTTGAGAGCAAATAAAGATTTATTTAATCAGAATAACCGTTTTCATACTCGTATCTCTTTCAAAATATTTACCGTTTGATATTTTTACTGATATCTCTGCTCTGCGCGAGGAAATGATGTTGGCCATGGGGGGAATCTTGAAGAAAATCTCGCAGCCTGTTGCGCTGGGGGTGAATGCAGGAGACTCCATCAGAATCTCATTGTTCACCTCCAGGGTGCACACCCAGTCGTAGGAAATATCCTCAAAGTACACAGGAGCATGCACGGGCTCACTCGAGGAGCCTTTGATTGAGATTGGGTACTTGTTGAGGGCAGATGGGTATATCTCTTCAGAAGATCCTTCTAGCTCTGATAGATCACCCACATCATTCTTCTTTTCTGAGTCATTATTAATCGACACGGGAGTGTACACGCTTTTGCTGTTCTCTCTAAAGACTGAGACTTTGACTATCGTGTCAACAGTGCCCACCAATGATCCGTTCTTGGCAATTACGCCATCTATAGGATTGTATATGTCTATTCCAGCTATTTTTATCTTGAACATCCCGTTTTCTTCTTTGGACTTCTCTTCTTTTTCGCTCTCTTTGTTCTCTTTGTCGTGGAGAGAGAGGAATGTCTCTTCAAACGATGCTCCCGTCTGCATTCGATGGTACTTTGGGTACGGAATGCTTTGTGTGATGCATCGTTCGAGGTCAAAGGCAAGGTAGTACAAGCTGCTTGATTTAAACGCAATTGACAGAGACTTTATTGCTCCTATGCAGAGAACTATTTCGCTCTGCATATACTCTATGTCACTTCTATCGATCAGACTAAGGACTGAATCGTCTCTGAGAAGCAGCATGCCCAGAGAGAGAATGAAGGTAGGCGCGGACAGAGAGATGGGAATGGCGTAGTCTGTGCTGATTATCTCTTTTATCTGCTGGATCTTTTTTTCTTCTGTTTTTGGCTTATACTGTGACAGCTCTACCGTATATTTGTTGAGAAGAACGAGAAGGCCTATTGGATCGGTGACGTACGTGTGCTTTAGTGCCCTGTAGAGAGACTCCGTGCTCTTGTAAAGGATTCCACTCGACGAATACTCAAAAGAGTACATCCACATGTAAGATACGCCTTTGGGGAGTAGCACTCCGAGAACCAGCACGTATAGGAATATCAGCAGGAGAGGATTGTACTTAGACATAATCCAGGAAGGTATGGCTATTGTGTGGTTGTTTACCATTGGAGCGTCTCCAAAGGTGTCCCATCGCTCCCTGGCCTTTGGATCTAGGAGAAGATCTTTAGCTTTTAATATGTTCTGCACACTTTTCTTTTTTTCTGCTGTGCTCGTCTTCATAAGCTTTGTTTTTCTAATTGCCTTGCGGTATGCGCCTTCTATCTCTTTGTCTGTGGCAGAGGTTGATATTTCGAGCAGCTTGTACGGGTTTGATAGGGTGTTTTTGTTGTACTCTTTGAAAACTATGTTGTACACCGGAAGTGCCAGAAGAAGCAAAAAAGCGTACATAAGGACTCTGTACTTATCTATCTTTGTTTTCTTTGTTAGCCTTGCACACTGTCCGCATTTGCAGACTGTTTTTTCCTTTTTCGTCTTTGACACAAAATACAAAGTAACGATGCTTGGGATTAGCAAGCCTGCAGCTAATAAAGAAGATGATAGACCTGTTGCATCATATCCATGTGACTCCATCCTGTTTAATTTATAAAATAAATAAATATTATTCCTCTATAAATTAAAAGCAAACATTGAAAAAAGTAATAACAGAAATAATAACAGAGAAAAGCTTTTAGAAAGATCAGCGGTACGATACAGAAAATAGCAGCAATGCGAGAATAGCCTGAGAATAAGATTGAAGGGGCATAGCATGAAAGTTTTTCCTAGGTGATAGTTCTGATATGAGCTGTGATAATGAGCTAGATGGCTAGTTGACAGGGAGACTTTAGTTGCTTGGACTGTAGCAGAGATTCTCGGGTTATTCTATCTACGTTAAGAAGCTACAACATAGTGATAGATCATCTGTGCATGAGTGTATAGGGTTTTAGTGATAGATAGCACAATATGGTAGATGTTGAAGAGCATAAATGAATGCCATCATTGCTAGTGGAAGGTAAAGATGATGGGCATAGCAAGAGAGGATGGTAGATGGATTTTGCAGAGTAAAAATAAATTTAAGTCGTAATTTTTTTATACCTCAGAGATGGCTTATTTGGTAATTGAGAAATCAGCAGAGTAAAAGGGTTTAAATGCAAGTAAGTGCACAGAGAGAGTGTAAGAGCGGTTTGTTTGGGGCTGTGTGCAGGAGTGAGAGCAGAATAAATTTGCAAATTCTAAATAAAATTCTAATTTTAAATAGATGGACGAGCGGTTTAAGAAGACTTTTGGACAGCACATACTAAAGAACCCGGGAATAGTATCGAACATGATAGACAAGGCAAAGATACGCCCAACAGACACAGTCCTGGAAATAGGGCCGGGAACAGGAAATCTTACGCTCAAGCTGATAGATAAATGCAAAAGAGTAGTGGCCATAGAAAAAGACAGAAAAATAGCAACAGATCTGCTCAAAAGAATAGGACAGAGAAAGAGCAAACTGCAGCTCATCATTAACGACGCAATAGAGGTGGAGTATCCTCCATTCGATCTGTGCGTGTCAAATACGCCTTACCAGATAAGCAGCCCGCTAGTTTTTAAGCTGCTAGACTATCCGTTCAGAGCATGCGTGCTGATGTTCCAAAGAGAGTTTGCAAACAGACTCTGCGCCACGCCCGGTGACTCGGACTACTGCAGGCTTTCTGTCTCTGTGCAGGTCAGAGCCACAGTGCAGCACATAATGAAAGTGTCCAAAAAAAGCTTTAGGCCTCCTCCAAAAGTCGAGTCAAGTATCGTGAAGATAGAGCCCAGAAGGAACAAGATAGACATAGATCTGAATGAGTTTGACGGAATGATAAAGATATGCTTCAGCAGAAAGAACAAGACAATAGGAGCGATCTTCCGGCAGAACGCAATAAAGAATCTCTTGTTCAGCAACAGAGAAATAACGGAAAATAAATGCGACGATGATGAGATAGATATTCCCGAAGAAGAGAACAAAATAACAGCAGAAGAGGAAGCAGTTTTAAACAGAGTTCTGGAAGAGAGCAGATTAGAGAAAGAAAGAGCGTCAAAGATGACCGTAGAAGAGTTTCTGTTTCTTCTGATCAAATTCAAAGAAGCAGGAATATCGTTCAAGTCGTAGGCGTGCATCCTGTGTGTTTTCTCGCTTATTTGCAGTAGCTTGGCTATAATAAAATTTAAACTAAAACATTTGGCTTTTGGAAATAATTTATTTTATTTTTTAGCCCTGCATGGTAAACTATCCAAAGACAAGAAAAACGCATTGCCAGAAATGCAACACGCACGTAGTCCACAAAGTGTCTCTCTACAAGAAGAGCAAAGAAAGACCAGAAGCACAGGGTGCCAGAAGATATAAGAGAAAGCAGCAGGGATTCGGAGGTCAGACAAAGCCCATTTTGAGAAGAAAAGCAAAGACAACGAAGAAAGTTGTTCTGAAGATGGAGTGCTCAACGTGCAAGAGAAAGCAGTGCAAGGTGTTCAAGAGAGCAAAACACGTTGAAATTGGTGCACAGAAGAAGGCAAAGGGTGAAGCATTGAACTACTAAATCGGATTAAATAAATTTTCGTATTTTTATCTCTCCATTCCAAGCGCAACGGAAAACTTTTCATTCTTCTGCCGGCATATAATTAATAAATTTGCAGATGAAATATTTTTATGAACGAGTGCCCAGACGTGCAGCCTGCAAGCACCGTGGAGTACACGATGGAGTGGAAAGACGGAGAGCTCGTTGTCTCTGACAAAAGCATATTCCAGGTGGTTCGAAGTATAAAGGACCCAGAGCACAGCTACACATTGGAAGAGCTGAAAGTAGTTTCGCTAGATCGGATCTCCATTGAAGAAACATCATTTGGCTCTTTTGTCCACATTGTTGTAATACCAACGATCCCCCACTGCTCAATGGTTGGGCTGATAGGGCTATCGATCCTCTACAAGCTAGTCAGCATTCTCAGCAGCAAGTACATCGTAAGAGTGGAGGTGGAAAAGGAAAGCCATACGCTCGCAGAGGAAGTCACAAAACAGCTGTCAGACATGGAGAGAACATACGCAGCATTCTTAAACGACAACATAGTGTCTGCCATACTTCCTCTGATTTGACCAAAACAGAAACAGAGTGTAGCAGTAGTTATTAACTGATTTTTCTATATTTGTACGTGCAAATTTTATTCGAGAGTGCACACTGTCTAATCAGCGCGGAGTAAGAGGACATAATCTAAATAATTTATTGATCAAAATAAATAGTAAATAATAGTGGTTTATTTATGCTCTGCTGCACTTGTCTACTCCCGTGTATAGTCGCATGTCGTACGCATTCTCACTCGGATCGGCGTAGTAGTCGTTTATCAATTCGTGTTTTACGTACCCATACTTCGTGTAAAAGTTTATTGCTTGTGTGTTTGACTCTCTTACGAATAAATCAATAAACAACGACTTATCTACCTTTGCATTTAGATCGTACATTTCAAGCAGGCTTTGCCCAAGACCGAACCTTCTGCAGGGAGGCGCAATGCTAAGCGCTGTTACATGGGAGTACAAGTCTTTCGTCTTTTTGTACGGTCCTGAGTTTCCTATGATGTAGCCTATCGGATTTTCATCAGAGACCACCGATAGACAGTACTTTGGGTGCTCTGACAGATATCTGAAGTAGAACTCCAAAGTAAAAGACACCGTCTTCTCGTCTAAGTTGACCAAATTCAAGTCGAGCAGGTCGGCAGCTGAGAATTCTCTGTATGTGAACATCGAGCGGAACAAATAAAAATAATTCATTTTTCCATAAAAGCACAAAAATAATTCCGCTTCAGGGAATCGAACCCCGGCCGTCGCCGTGAGAGGGCGAAATCCTAGCCACTGGACCAAAGCGGATACATTATCATTCAGCGCAGTCTGTACTTCTCTATAGAGAGAAAGGATAGACTAGCAGTAAATGTGCTAGAGAAGTGCTGTGGGGGCAAAGACTACTCGGGTGCTTCGTACTCTTCTGCTATCTTCTTATTTGTCGTGTGTTTGATCTCTGCTATTTTCCCAAGTATTTCCTGTGCTGTGTCTTTTATTTTGTTGTATTTGTACAGCTCGTTAATATTTTCATCGTATTTTTTGTAGACGTCTTTCACCCCATGGATACTTGCGTAGTACAAGTTGCTTATCCACAGAAGAACAGCGTGGTTAGCTGTGGGGTTTCTGCTGACCTTCACTTTGAATAGATCAAACAGTGTTTCAACTGCTCTTTTTGCCTTTGCGTCGGTCTCGCTCTTCTCCAAGAACTCTTTCATTCTAAAATATTGCGAAAATTAATTCGTAAATAAGAATAAGCAGTAATCAAGTGGGAGAGGGGCGGATATGCGATGAACAGCACAATAGGTTAGCAGCGGGCTCTGGGAGGCTTTTGTTCTTCTATCTTGAAATTCGCAAACTTAGTTTTATTTTATTTTTATTTTAGGCCTTGTAAATGTCACAGAGAGTAGTTAGAGCAGGATACAATCCATATGTCACCCCAAGCAACGTCATGGTCTTCGCAAAAGACGAGAACGGCAAGCTATACTACAAAAAACAGAAGAAAACAGGAAGCCCCCAGAGATGCGGAGACTGCAAGGAAAAGCTCCAAGGCATTCCCACCATGAGACCAGCAGCCTTTGCCAGACTCCCAAGATCCCAGAGAACAATCAACAGAGTGTACGGAGGAACCGTCTGTGGATCATGCGTAGAGAAAAGAGTTCTTAAGAATTTCTTAAAAGCAGAAGAGAAACAAATCAAGGAAATGACCCAATAAATTATTCTATTCTTTAAAACATCCTGCATGTATATTCTTATGTTACGACAATGGAGCATACTCCTGTTTCTTTCTAGCGTGTATTCGCACAAGCTGTACGGAAATAACATTACCATTCACTTGGATAAGAATGGGATACAAATTACAGACGCAGCAGATGAAAAAACAGAGCAAAACATCAGCAGGCCGGAGGAAACACAAAACGGCGTAAACATTAGTTTAAAAAGAGAAAAAGAAGAAAGTTCGCATAGACCTGTTGATAAGCCTTCTAGTACTTCCCAATTTGGCAAAAACAAAATATCCAATGATGGAAAAAAAGAGCCATCTGTCAAACAGAACGATACAGCCAAAGGCCCTGCTACATCTTCAAACAGTTTGAATAACGTAAGCAGCCAGAACAAGGACAAAAGCACAAATTCATTCGGACTGTTCAATAATAATGAAAGTAATTCTAATGTAATCTCGCACTATGCCATTTCAGAGAACACCCCAAAGAGTAATAACACCCCAACAGAAGAGAATGAACCGCACAAAAGTAGTTCTGCTGTGAAAAATGACCTGCTAGGCCACTCAGGCAATAATGACTGCATTGTCGTTAAGACTCTGGCCCCAATAACAGAACAAGACCAAATCCTCCTCAGAAAAAATTTGCAGAGATATGGCAGCTATCTGCAGTATGTCTACAACAACATATTTCACGGCGTGTCAATTTGCAACGCAAGTAAAATCAACGTCAGCTCTCTTTTGGCTGAAATATCGAATAGGCCCCTATCAATGGAGAGCAACAAGCAGTATACACTGTCGTACAGACAAGAGAATCTTCCCGATAACTTCTACATTACGATAAACAGCCAGCAGAAGCTCTTCAATGTAAAGTGGTTGGACTGGCTTGTGAATGCATACATCCGAAATGGATATGTTCTGAGACAGTCCAGCCTGTTTCGGTGGTACAGAAACAGATACTTTCCCTTGCTCAGTAATTACACCGGAAAAGGAATAAAAATCGAAGTGATAGACGGAGACATTGGAGCAGTGCACCAGGAGATAGAAGGAAGAGTGAGCGTGCGCAGAAAAGAGGCACAGTACCAGCTTAGCAGCCATCCTACGTCTGTAATGACAGCAGCAGCGGGAATAACAACAGGACTAGCAAAAGATTCTACCTTAGTACTGCATCCCGTGTTTAAGTTTGGAAATGGATATCTATCGGACATACTACACACACTCGATGGAATTTCAATGAGTGATTCGGACAAAATTCTTCTTCTTCCCTTTTCAGGAAGTAAATCAGACTTACTGGATAGCTCATTGGGCTTGTTCTACAATGCAAATATTCCTGTTGTTGTGCCAGCAGGGAATAACGGAGGGTCTTCGTGCGAGTACAGCCCATCTAGGTCCAAGTATACGATTACCATTGGAAGCATGTCTGACAGACTGGGGCCAGAGCCTTGGTCAAATACTGGACAGTGCACAGATGCGTATGCCTCAGGCAGTGCTACAGTAGGAGATGTATCTGAGCTGTCGCCTACGGTGAGATATGCCTGGCGAGAAGGAAGTAGCATATCAGCAGCATACGCAGCTGGGTATATAGCCCTTCTGATGCAAACTGCCCCTTCCTCTGTTTCTGAAATTAGAGAACTGCTGAAGCACGGTGAAGCATTTCCTCTTCTTTCTATTCCCAACATAGGAAATAGCTCGCCTTTTATCTCTAGTAATTTTGAGTACAATAGCATTGGGGTGGACATTTTCATTCTCATCACTCCTTTGCTTATTATAGTGTGCATTGCTGCTTTATGCAGAAGAAAGTCAAAGAAACAGTTTACAAAGAAAAGCCGCAGGCACACGCCAAGTATCTAATCAGTACAGTACAATCTAGTAGATGGTCTTTCTTGGGGTATAATAAGCTGCATAATAGAAGCTGACTGAAGTATTCCGCTCTTTTTTCTTTATACAATAAAAATAAATCTTACTTTATTTTATTCTGTAGAGTTCTGCTTTGTTTCTCTTGGAATTGCAAATTATTTTTAGTTTAGGAGACTATTGCTGTTTATTAGAAGAACATTGGGATTAATATGCTAAAATGTTCTTGAAATATTTAAGCATAGAAGATAGTGGGATAGTGTATTTACATCCATAGAGGAAGCTCAGTGAGGTTGCTGTAGGCTTTGTTTATAATCAGAGATGATAGGAATCTGTTAATATATCATTTATAAGAGATAAACAAACAAAGAGCAATTTATCATAGTGCACAGGTTAAAAAAGAAAATAAGCAGTATATAAATGCACATAAAATCTAAGAAGAATACAAAAATACTGGTAGTCTTTGTAGCTATCGGGGTTGCATTTATTGTAGCCATAGAAGAGATAATTCGGTATAGGGTATTTTTAAAAGACAGCACAATAAATAGCAAGACAGAAGAGCTAGAGAAGGGGAATATAGCATCAGAGGTGAATAAAAGACAGAAAGAAGTGCCTAGTGAGCAGGCTGAATGCTCTTCAAAGCAGCTATCACTTGATAAAGAGAAGGTGAAGAAAGAGCCTGGACCAGACTGTGTATTTAACTTCACTTTTATTGAAAATCCGTCCACACAAAACAAAGAAGAAGAAACACGACAGGAAGAACATACAGCGAATGATAAATTTTTTAATCCTCTGAATAATAACAATTCACTTACGGATGTAGATGTGTTTAATGAGAGTGGTGCTATAAGTAGTACAAGTTACACAGACACAGCACAAGATTTGAGCAGCAGTTCATCAGATCTAGACAGTTACAAGTACACCAATCTCTCTTCTGATGAAGAATCTTCTCAGGGATGTTTATTTTCATCTACAAGCAACAGAAATGCCTCCGACTTGAACGCTTCATCTAAAGAGTCAAGCACTGACCTTTTAATACCTGAATGCAGCTCTAGCAATGTTCAAACTGAGTATGAAAAATACAACAATAGACAGCTAAAATACAGCCCTTTTATAGACAGAGATATACACGAAAAATACAACACATATGATGATCTTTGGATACCTAATGAAGCAATAAATGCTATACTCTCTCAAAAGGATTGGACTAAAAAAACAAGTAAACACTTAAAAGAAAGCCCAGAAATCTTGGAGAGCGTTAATGAGTATCCTGAAGAACAAAGTTTTTTAGAAAGTGGAGAAAATGCTTATCCTTTCACGACTGAATACCTTCGGTTCGCATTCATAGACTCAGATGACTACAAATAGAAGCAATCTTCAACCACAACATAAATCTTAATTTTGAGATATATTTAGTTTATACATCGCTAAAGCCAGATAGATGTCTACTCATTTACGCTGTTCTTCATCAACAATACACATACAGGTATACATCGAATGGCTTAGCATTATGCTGCACCATCTGCTAGACTGCAATGTAAATGAAAAAGGGAGTAAGAGTTGGAAATACTCCAGCATACGGCATATTGGTGATGTGCTGTTTGAATTTACTGTGTCTTGTAAGAGAATAGCAAAAATGCAAAAACATCTTTGCAGTTCAATGTGAAACAATAAACAAAAAATAGACTAATTGGGCTGTTTCAAATTCTGCTTTATTTCTACGATAAAATATTTAAATAATACACAGTGCAAATGAAAATTGAGTGCAAATTGTTGTCTTATTCGACAGAGTCACTTACCCAGTCAAAAAACGGAGTGTGGTGGTGGGAGGGAGCGCCTGTATTCACCAGCGAGCACACGATTCGCATATGGAACAATGGACAGAAGGTAGAGTTCAGCCCGAAGACTGCGTCATTTGTACTGAACATAGAGTCCATCCATGACATTAAAATGGGAATTCTGGAGATATTCATTTTATCAGAAGGCTTGATCCAAAATGAGCTCGTCGGATACGCCTTCAAAAGAGTGGAGGACCTGCTGCAGAAAAAGAAGAACTCTGTGCACTACCTAAAAATACTTCCCGTGAACGATCCAATAAGCGGGTGGCTGTACACCAAACAGCCGCACTCCGACTCCTTTAGGCCAAAAGAGATGGAATTCTATCTGGCGCTGTCTGTTACAATACACAGAACGATTAACATTATGGAAAAAAAGAAAATTCCTTTTCTCTGGGCAGGCTTTTTAAAGAATGAAGCTGTTGCTGGAAGGATATTCGATCTGCAGCAGGCGTTCTTGTTCCTATTCCGAGACATGCACAACATTTCCGAGTTTGTATATGGCATCAGAGAGCTTTTTCTGTACTACAACCAGAGAGACGCGCTTGAATTTAAAAATGTTCCTCTTTACGAGTTCGCAGAAAAGAAGAGCGGCTTCATGGAGAGCATACGGAGAAGAATATTTGGCAGAAAAGAGTCCACCCACGAGAGAAGAGTGTTCTACTCTCTCTATCTGAAAGAAGCCCTGAAAAAAACTAACCCTTTTATGTGGCACGTGGAAACGGAAGATTTTTATCAAAATCACTTAAAAAACTACAGATATGCTATTTCCCCATATGGACACGCATTTTTAAATCTACACTCCCTCCTGAACGTAATCAAAAACAAAATAGAACACTGCGAGTGTCTCCAGTGCGCCAGCCCAAAGATAAAACAGGAAGAAAAGTTTTTCCATCTGTTTTCAGGCATTCCGTATGAAGACATTCTGCACGACGACAGCAAGTACCTGGAATACGTTATATTCATTGAAAAAGCTGAAAACTGTCTGTACATTGCATTCAAAGGAACACTGCACAGCAGAGAGGCCCTGATTGACATAGACTACAAATACTACAAATACAAGGGGAATCTGTTCCACCAGGGAATGTTCAAAGAGTCCGAAAAGTTTTTCAAAGAAAAAGAACAGAAGATACTGCATCTCATGAAAAGCAACAACTTAAGCAGAATACGGCTTGTAGGGCAGTCGCTGGGAGGGGCGCTGTCTATGCTCGTGTGGATGTTTATGAGAGAGAGCCCATTTCTATCGCAGTACAAAATAGCATGCATTGCATACTCGCCTCCGCCCATCATTAATAATCCAGGATGGTTCAAAAAGCTGATAGATAAAAAAACAGAAAATACAGTCACAGCTGTTATCTATGGAAACGACATTGTTCCCACCCTGTGCCTGGGGAAGGTGTTTGAGCTGAGGCTGCTGGCAACCCATTTCTATGCGATCAGTGTGTCAAAGTACAAAAACAAGAACAAGTACATACACGCCATTCTTAGAAAGATGAAAAAAAAAGGAATGGCCAAACTGTTCATACCGGGGGATATTTATAAAATACGGCACACAACAACAAGCCCGAGTACATTTTTAGTCAGAAGAACACACTGGTCAGAGTACAGCTCGATAAAGCTGTGGACAAAGGCATTCATCCACCACACACCCGGCGCCATGATAAACGCCCTGCAAAAATCGATAAAGTATTTCTACACAGAGCCCTCACAAGAAAAAGAGTTGTCTGATGACTTAGATAATAATAACATGGGCTCCCTGCACTCTCAGGCGCCCAGTGATAAAGCAGAAAAATCAAGATGCAATCCTCTATAATAAAAAATATTTTGAATTTATAGCCGAGAATATTTTTAATACTGCTCTTTATTAAACCATTTCAAAATAAACTTTATTAACATTATTGCCGTATAGAGAAGAAAAGGGGCGTGGTGATCGCACTTATCTGTCTATACTCTGTCCATTTGCAGCTGTTGCATCAGTTTGTACTGCTGGTCTTTTCTGAGCAAGCACACACTTCTTTCTACAAGCATTCCAACGGCTATCATGTAGAGAGAACATATGTAGAAATACGGACGTATGAAGATGCCAAATCCGCCTTCAATTCCCACGGAGAAGATAAAGAAAAGATAAGACACAAAAAGAGCAAAGAATGAATAGAAAACAAACGACTCAGCAGAGAACAAAAAGTAGAGGTTTGTGGAAATAAAAAGACACAGTGAGAACAAACAGCACACAGTGTCATGCCCGCCCAGCTCGCCGTCTGCTCCTATGACATCAATCGATCCAAACATGCTGTAAATCACGAGAAATGATCCTATCCCATAGAATATCCCGTTTAGGAAAGCGTCTGCAACTGATTTTTTTAGTGATCTAATGCGGAAGAGCCCCATTTCAATGGAAAGTGGAGATGTAATTAGAGCATTGAAAAACAGCAAAAACAAAGAAGAAGATGCAATGGACCCAGAAGACCCCACAAACACTCCATATAAGCACTGGCAGACAGCTAGGCACACGCTTTTGAACATGAAGAACATAAACACACTGTTGAGTCTCTCCAGAGACACGGGGCCATGAGCCACAATGAGTCTTCCCAGGCCGTAGAAAGAAGGGATGGTTATATCAGAAGAAAAAGACGCCCTTGTAGACTCCATGCTGCACACGCTCACTCCAATGTCTGCCTCTTCAAGCATGCCTATATCATTATCGCCGTCTCCAATGGTCAGCACGATCTTACCTGACACTCTGAGCTTTCGTGTGAGAGTTCTCTTGTCCTCTGGCGAACACCTGTAGACTATAATGGACGAGTGGTCAAGGAGAGCAGAAGATCCTGAGCTGTCTAGTAGCTGGATCAATTCTGTACCTGAAAATACTTTGTACGGGTTGTGTTCCATTCCTGCAGATATACCGCACGAAACAGCACTTTCTTTCCTATCTCCAGTAAGCATCCATATGCATATTCCCTTGGCCACAATCGACTCTACGGTCAATGAAACCCTTGGCTGCAGTGTGTCTTCAATGTAAAGTGTTCCTGTGTAAGCAGACGAGCCTTCAAAGAACAGTATAAAAGACAGTGGAAGATCCAATTTTGACCAATCGATCTCTTCATTCTCCTCATTCTTATTTGAAGAAAGAGAATACTCACAAACCAGTTCTTTCAACGGTGTATTTGCACTACTTGTTTGATTTTTACTCTTTTTGTCTTTTTTCATGGCTTGAGTTACTGCATCCACTTTCTCCGATTCATCTGGGTATTCTGCAACGTATTTCTTCATGTCTGCTCCTTCTACTTCCTGTCCTGACATCATCAGCGCCCTATACTCACCGCCTACTTCCAAAGCGCCGTCGCAGTTAACTACCTCATCGGAGCCCTTGGTCAAAAGAAACACTCTCCCATCAATCATCACCACAACACTCATTCTGGCCACTGAAGCAGAGAAAGGCAGGACAGAGAGTATTCGGCACTTCATCAGCACACCCTCTATTGAAATAAGAACAAAACTTTCTCTTCGATCGATCACTGACAGCTGAAAATTCTTCAAATACTCCAGCATGCACACCTCTTCCTGCGACACTCCCATGTATGTTCCATCTATCGTATCGACTGAATGACACAGCAGAAGAGTGAGGATAGAGAGCATAGAGTCATTCCTATCCATCACTGATCTAAAAGTTTTCTGAGCAGGATAACTATTAGACCCATCATTAGTGCTGGCTGGCTCTGCACTTTCTCTGGCGTGTGCGCTATCTAAAGAATCGAACATAATAGCTGACTCATCCCCTGCCAGGTATATCCCCTTAAACTCCATCTTGTTCAGAGTGAGTGTTCCTGTTTTGTCAGAGAGCACATGCGTAACCATCCCAATGTCCTCTAGAACTCCATGCGCATTGCATTTAGCATACACGCCGTCATTTGCCATTTCTGGGTCAGCTTGGACAAAGATAGAGTATGCAATGCGAAGACTGTCTAGCGTAACGAAGAGAGACAGGGGTATAAGACTGCTAAAAATAATAATGTTGGAGAACAAGCACCTCACACCTTCTTCAAAGGCTGCCAGCTCTACGGGCCCAAGCAGCCACTCGCCGTTTATCATAAACCAGCAAGAGCCAGCAGAAGAAACCATAAGGAGAAACAGATAGACGGCAATAGTATATATGCTGAGTATAGAAAGTACGTTCATGAACAGAGATCCTTTTATGCGCACAGCCTGCTCTGTCTCTTTCTCCCCGCCGAGTGACAGGCCAACAATCGTGCACTCAGTGTAGATGATTGCTCCTCGGGGGATCGTGTTCTGTTTGCTGGTGGAAATGCAGCTGGCTCTATCCGAGCTGCTTCCATAGCTAATGCTGCCAATGCCATCTTTTCCTATGCTTACAGTACTTTTGTGTGTGCAATTAGTATCGCAATATTTCATAAATAGCTCGCCCTCTAATGTCTCAGTGTCATAGTTGAATTCTATGTCCTCCAGGGTGTTTATCTCGTCTTCTTGCAGTACTCCTGTCTTTCCCAGGTGAGCGAGTGTCTTTCGGTTTTTCAGAGAAGTTTCTCCATCTAGGGCACTTGTCTCTATGTATATCTCATCCAAAGAGGCTCCTGCATCTCCTTCCTTATACGCCCCCAAGAGCAAAACATCCACAGGGAGAGGCTTGCTCCGAGGAATTACAATTCTATCGCCGGGGTTTATGTCTTCCCTTTTTATCTCAGAAATTGCTCCATTTCTTATTGCCGACAAAGTTTGCGTGTTTATCTTTTGATCCAGGCTGTACTTTTTCAGCTCCTGCACGGCTGTTTTCAGAATGTTCACAGACATAATCACCAGCACACACGCGATGTACGTGGACTTAGAGAATGAAGTGAGCCCGGGAACCAAGACAATGCAGCAGAGGATGAGGAAGAATATGTTGAAGGATTTAGTGCTCTCTCTGAACAAGCGCGCGGGGAGGAAGGTGAGAAGCGAGTAGGAGGTTGTTGATACTCTGTTTTTTCCGGGTACAAAGTGTTTTGGCACGTGGATAGCGACCATAATAAATAAAAAACAAATAAATAAAATATGACCCAGGAGAGACTCGAACTCCCAACCATTCGATCTGGAGTCGAAAGCGCTACCTTTGCGCCACCGGGCCTTGGAAAAGAGAAGACAAAACCAATATACTCTGTTTATTAGGATATAAGGAGGAGGGAAAAAAGAAAAATGGCGTATGCTCCGAACACAGTGGAAGGGATGCTGGGGAAGTTCAACCAGGGGTTCTTGTACAGCAGAAACAGCAGCAGTGAGCTCGTTAGAAGCACACCAGGAACGCTGCAGTACAATGAGTATGTAGAGGAACAGAGGAGAAATTAGCCGTGGAATAAAGAATAATTTATTTTCTTTATTGTTGTTTTCCATCTATTAATTATTTTATTGCTCACATACTAGAGCGGGCTGGTATTTATCCAGCAGGGCTGAACATAAAGCAGACTGGCAGAGTTAATGAGCAGAGAGTTAGGGAACATTCCTGTATTTCTTCTATTTTTTATTGTGTGTAATAAGTCACATCTGTGTCTTTGGGGCTATTCTAGCGAGCGCATGGATTTAGTTTGGTTTTGTGATGGGCTGCATCTATTCAGTGGGTCTTTCGTTCACCGTGATGTAGACAACGCCTGCTGTCTCTTCGTCACATATCACACACTTTGTAGACTGCGTGATAAACCCTCTGGCACAGCTGTAGCAGAAAAAGTGTTTGCACACGGTTACGCACTGCGCAGGTGCACCGCACAGGGCGCATATTTCGCTCTCTATCAGCTTCTCTCGCGTGTGGGCGTATTTACACCCTTTCTTTCGGCATCTGCCGGTGGAGGAGTACTCTTTGCAAATATTGTCCATGGGATAAAAAGAGAATAGAAATGATAAGTGCTGCCCGAAAAAATAG